CAACATACAAAACCCTCCCCACCACCCCGTGTGAGCCACAGTACACAGCAACTCATAATCGTTTGTCCATATTTTGTGGACTATGTAAGCAACACCAGCAACAAACACATCTTGTACACAAAGCGGCCGCATGCTGTGGTGAGGCAATTTTGGTAAACGCTCGCGGTGCACGCTGGCATATGAGTAATATATTTGCCATAGGCTAACCAAAGTGCAGCAACAATAAATAAATGAAATGTACTTATAATAAAGGAAAATTCCAAACACAATTGTAAGTGCATTCGAAAATAAGGTGAAAACAATTAAAAATCACAATTTATTTGATTGCGTGCTTTAATGGGCACACATGCGTATTATTCAACATGTCAAATGCCGCTTATTTGACATGTTGAATAATATATATATATATAATACAATCAAACGCACGCACACACACACACACACACACACACACATACATCAACATTCATGTATGTAGACTGTTGTGTTGGGTTGTCTGGCAGCTCTTTTAGTTTCGCATTCATTTGCGAGAAATCCCAGCGGCTTGTGTTCACTATTTAGCTAAAACTCTGCCTTCAAGTGCTGCGAGGCATCGCATCTCGCTTAATGGGGGCAACGGCTCGTGCTGGCCCTGCAATGCGAGTCGTGTTAAGTGGGGTTCACGAACCCCTGGCAACCCCATTTAACCCTAACCCAACATATACATTAACGCCTGAAAGTGTTCTCAGGGCAGAGATACAACTCGTTTTTGGGCTAACTAGTTATTTAAGCAAATGTTTGAAGTGTTGCCATATCAGTTGGCAGCTGTTTGTGTGTATTTATCCGTGGGTTAGTGCGTATGTGGCCTAAGGACGATTAAATGGATTTGATTTTGGGGCTAGTAAAGGCTCTGACTCGACTTTGTTTATGTATGTTAATGTAGGCTGCAGATTTGTGGCTGCGCTTGTTTTGAGATTATGAAATTCTAATTGGAAATTCAGCATGAAACTGGGAAATGAGAACTAGATGTTGAATAATCTAGCAATAGTTTATTTAACATTATTATATGTTGGCTAAAGCATATAGTAATTTAATCTCAAAAAAATTTAATAAGCCGATAAAAAGAAATGTTCGGGGCTCTGGTACAAAGGTTGCTGCAGTGAAGATCTAAATAGTTTTCTACAATATCTAAAAATATTTATTCTTTTACAATAAACGAATATAGTTTGAAAATTATGCGCTCCCTGCATAGCTTTCCTGAAATCCGCATACAAATTAGCATATCAAGATACGCTCCATTTCGAGCTAAGTTTATACTTTAATCCAATATCGTTTGGCCACAATTAGCAGCATCGAAAAAAAAAAACCTAAAAGCGAAACAACTTTGGGTTAGGATCATTGAGCTGTAATCTAACGACAACGACAAGTGGCAACACCTTCATTTGCTGGAGCACACCCTCATTGTATCCGGCAGCACATTCTCATTTAATGCAATTTAAAATGGAATTGCATTTAATTTGCACAACTTCATTAGCAAAACCCTTCAGCAAATTCATTACGACTCTCCCAATGACTATCAAAATGTAGGGCAGCCAAAAGTTGACTGGCACATACACAGACACACTCACACACACACACTCAAGCACTGACTCACTAATACACTGACACACTCACCTACGAGCACTCGAAATGTCTTCTCGAGTGCGGAAATATTTAAAGTGTCACACACGCTATTCGGAAATTAAATGTGAACACTGCTTATGCTCAGCCAGTAAAAGTGGCTCAGAGGACGAGAACTTTTGGCTGCGGAAAGCATACGGTACATTACACTGTGCGACAACATAACTGAATAACATAAGTATATTAGCATTTAAAGTTTTATGTGTTTAACACAAAAGAACTCAGCCAGTTTGCTAACAAGGGAGTAAGTGACATAGACACGTTATCTAGACAAGGGAGCCATGGAGAGTATTGCTTATTAATAACTGACTCTATTTATATTCATATATTTTAATTTCTTAGACTATGCTGCGTTTAAAATATGACTATGTATTTTATCAAAGAAGCAGATGTTATAATTACATTCTATAAAGTCACGCTCAGCTACATTTCTGTGTGACCTAAGTAATACCTAATATGTATATTAATGACTGCTTTGCATTTAAGCTTAACATCGATATACAGGCCTAAAAAGACCAGCAATTTATCATTTTTATTTAGCACACATAATCATTAGAGTGGAGTGGAGAGTGTCCACATTATATTACTTACCATCATCTTCGCTGTGTTTACATGAAAGTGGCCCAGACATTGCTCAGCTATAGTTCATATATATAGTTGTATTTGTTGTGTTGATGGACAGTGCCATCTCTGCTCGCCAGCAGGTAAGGTGTCTCGATCCGTCTCTTCTTGTGGGCGAAGCAAAAACAAAACGACATTGTTCGCTTTTGTTGGGGCAACTTCTTCTTATTGTTCCACTGCTACCCCTCTATTTTTCATTACATGTTTCCGAATGTTTGTTATGCGAATTTTTGTCGGTCGCCTGCCGGAGGGGTTTGGCGTTTTGTGTTTTGGGTTTTGGGGTTTAAGTGTTTTGCGGTTAGTTTTTCAGAGTGCAGAGTTTACGTTACGTTTGTTTGGCCTCCTTTGTGGCACATTTTGCGGTGCGTATACGTAGCATTGTTGCACGCAGATGTGGCTATATTTATTAAATTTAACTGTCGTGCCGTGGCTTCCTTTTAGCTAAACGCTCATAAATGCGGATGGCTTATGTTTTCTTTTTCGTTTTGGCAAGCAAAGTATTAACTACGCGTTGGTTTTTAAATGTTTTTTTTTTCACATATATATATACTCTTGTCTAATTCTGATGGACTTAGAAAATTCGGAAATTGTGGCTGGTAAAACCATCCAATAAAACTAAAGAGGATAAAATATTAAATATTTTCAGCTTTGGTTCTTGTATTATCAATGAATTGGTTGGAGTATATTGTATCTTTCGCATTTCTATTTGAATCAAAAAATCTCAACTAGAAGCAAGCATCTCGAAAAATTGGAATAATTTCCCCATAGTATTCACAGGTTACTGCACCATTCAGTGCTTACAATTAAATATAAACATATTTTTTTAATATTTTTTAAAAGGAATACGAATTACTACAATATTAAATTCAAGCGTTTCCTGTGCTTGCTTCGCAAGATGAAAACCAAAGCATTTTTGCCACACCAACATTGGCCTTACCCAACCATTTGAAGCTGCTTCTGCAGCAGGAATCATCCAGGCAGCTCGTGATTGCAATGCTCGTACTTGTGCTCATTGAATAATTTAAAGAAATATAGGAAGGACTTTGCGCACTGCGCTGTTTGAGCTCATTTTAAGTAAACATAGACTTGACATCTTCACTTTATTTATTACACACACATGGATAGACGCACACATCCTGCTAGCAATAACAGCAAAAACAACAACATCAGTAGCAACTGCCCTAAGCGTTTGCTCAAGTGTGTGAGATTACATAATAGAAACCGCAAATAAATATATCGCGTACTGTAGCACACGACATACGCAGCAATAACAACAACAAGCTATGTACAAGCATGTGTCTCCGGAGACAGCAAGTGCTTTTCCCCTCGCCCTGCCACAGGACTTGCAGCTCGAAAAAAAAATCAACATCAGCAAGCAGCAGAAGCACCAGAAGCAGCAGCAGCAAACGGGTAAAAATAAGAAGAAAAAGGCAACTGATATGCTCGTACCTTGGGCCATACATTCATGATGAGTACCCCTAGCCCCAGCCCCAGCACGCCCGCACCGCCCGCAGGCAAACGCAGCGGTTGTCTTGGCGTGGGGCCGAGCCTCTTGCCTGTTGTCTGTATCGAGGTCAAAGCGCATAACTTAAGTAGCCGACAATAAAATGCATAACATGGCGTACAGGCCAAAAGGCAAAAAGCAAACCTGAGCGAAAATGTAGAAAATATCGCTCTATTTATTTGTACATTACGCCAACAGTGAGAAGAAAAAGAAGCAGCATCAGAAGATGTTAAAATACGCACCTAACAGGCATTGGCCGTGTATGTGTGCAGCTTTTATACCTTTGTCCCTCCCCTCAGTGTACCTGGTCATAGCAGATGCTAGTAAAAGGCCAAGTGTTGTGCTTGACATGTGCAGAGAACCCAATGAGCGCACACCCTGAATATAGGTTTTTTTTTTGACGTGAGTGTCCTGCTGGGGCCATAACAATTTCACGCTGCGCTGCAAAAGCTGACGGGATCCCAACATAAAACATATTCAAGTCGTTTGGCGAATACATCAAATAATCAAAGCCAAATGAAATTGGAGGAAAAATATGAAATTGACTTTTGTTAAGTCGGAAAAAGATGTTCCCGAAAATTGGGAAAAGAGATTATCAAAATTGTAATGAAAATTTAATGCTTTTTGGCAACACAGTGTCTTGTAGCTATAAGAGCTATATATATTCTACCTATATGTGAACTCTTAAGAGTTTTATATAAATCGTAGCAATCTAATTTACTTTGTTCAATAGCCTTTGGACTAGAAAGGGAAAACTATGTGTGAGAATACCTATTTTGTAATATTAATCTATTTAATTAAGGGCTTTCTCTATATTTGCTCAAATTACTCGATTTTTGGTAGCTTTTTTGTATTTTTTAAATGTCTACAGGGTAACAATAAAAACTCAAATCTATTTTTAAGTTTAATTGTAATGATAAGTAAGCGTTAAAGTTTTGCTGCATATTCAAAAATATTCCAACAAATATATTTAAAGAACTTTGAACATGCGTATGCAAATTTTCAAAGCCTTTCAAATGCACGCCAACGCATTCCCTACGCTTTTTGAGCACACGTAAGCGTATTTCGTGCTTGCATAGAATTTTTGGGACAAAACAAACCGCATAATTAAGCGCTGAAGTACTACCAACAACAGCGTCAGCTATTCGAAAATTGTTAACAATGCGCATTACGTATATGCCGTGTGGTGACCGTTTTGTTTTCTCTACCCACACAGATACCAGGACATGTACAACAATCCGATAAAGGCCACTAATTTGGAACATCGCGACGTTGTGCTGGATATACTCTCCGATGCTCGGGTCGTCGGACCCCTGCTGCAGACGGGCATGTTCCATGCGGATGTGAATCGACGCAATTATATGTACGTTTTCGGTCATAATAGCGCGACGGGCCCTTACGCACATGTAAGTAAAAGTCCATACATATTTTATATAGTATATCGGTGTATTTTGTCTATGTTAGAGATTTTGTGAAATGCCGTGTGATTGTGATTGCAATTACGCGCCGCATTTAATTTAAATGGTGTGGTCAATTTTCCAAATATATAAACAGCATGAGTTGGGCATTTAATGAGTTTTCATGTACTGCCAGCGACCAAAAAGTTTTCGCCGCCCTTGTGACTGGCAACAGCTCCTGGGTTACTACTCTCTGCTGGGTCATTCCATCATTGGCTGCCATTTTGGCTTTTCAGCAAAACAATTCACAACTTCGCAGCTGTCCAGGCCGCGGCGCGTAACGATCGTAATAAAGGCAATGAACTGGCTTTGAGTCCAGCAAGGATAACAAAGACAACAAGAAGGCACACGAAAACAACAAGCCCAACTTTAACGCCAAGTCTCTAAGTAGACAATGGCCCACTTCACTGGGAATTCGGTTTTGTTTTTTTTCTACCCGCGGGCGGCTCAGTGGCTGAGTGGTTCATGGTGACTGGTTGGTTGGTTGCCTGGTTGCCTTGTCTAAGTTGTCTGATTATTTTTGTCTCTGCTTTGAGTTCTGTCAGTAAGGTCGCGTGTCCATCTCTTGGCTGCGTTGCTATTACGCCGCTTGCCACCAGTTTTTATAGCTTTGTCATGCTTATGGATTTGTTACTGATTGCCATTTGGTGATAGCCTCTTTTGCTCTCGATATAGATGCTACACTCTCTATGCTATGTTATGATTAAATGTGTCTATCGATTTGTAATTAGGATGTGGGCGCAAATATTTGATAAGGAGTATATCAAATATGTGAATGGCTTGATTGCTGGATGAAACCACTTTGATTCACATTAATGGAAATTGAATAAGTATTTCCAATTCAATGTAGACTTACGTTGATATTATGCATGGAAATCCAATTGGAGATCGATATGAGCAAGTGGACATAAGAAATAAACCAGAAATATTAAATAAACTTACAGAGACAGAAATGTGCATTTATAAAAAGTTAAAGTTAAAAAGTTATGGGGATAAACTTAAAGATATTAAATCGCCAAAGGATACATTTGACTAATTGCGAAACGTTTAAGAAATTTCAAGGTATTAAAACATTTAAATTATATAAGTATATAAAGCAAAAACTTGCATCTTATTACTTGATTTTCAATGTTTTCTCACGTTTCACATAAATAAATGAAAAATGCGAACATTATTATCCACACTTCATAAAACGTTCTGAATAATACTTAATGTATTTGTAATAGATCAAATTTAGATATTGGGATAATAATATGTAAGAAAAAAGTATTGAAAAAGTTGAAAAGTTATGAGCCTTAAAGTAAATTATTTTACAATTTTGTTAATAGTTCTTGTTGTGATTATAAAACACTGAATACCCAGAAGGAAACAACTGAAACAAAAGCTTGAAAAACTCTTGACTGTCGGAGACAAAAACGAAAACCCAAATCCCCAAATAAAGAGCACTGAAACATAAATAATGAATGGGGGAACACAAATAAATATACAAATCTAAATAAAAAGACAAAAAAGTTATTATTTCGCATTATATTTTTGGAAAGTTTAGCTTTGGCTTCGGCGTTAAGCGCATTTTTATGACTGTAGCTACCAGTTCAGGGAGGGTCCATAAGTTGGCCATAAACCTTGGCCAAGTCGACTAAGTCCCAACTAAATGAAAATAGACGTTGACTACTTGAAACAAGTGTGGGTCATAATGCAGGCAACTAGCTTAATAAATGCGACAACAATTTGTGGGAAATGTTGGCTGGGCGAAAAGTGCAACAACTTTTTAATAGCCGACAATTAAAGCATAAAAGTATATGCAATAATATATATAAATAAAACATATAAATAACGAGCAGACGAAATGGAGCGCTCAGTGCGAACAAAACTTTCTGTATAAACTTCATTTTTTGGTATATTTTTTTGTAGCTTCTCGCTAAAGTAGCTTAATAATAGATGAGAGCATGTGCCATAGCTTAAGCAACATTTATATTTATGTGTTTGAGATGAGAAAAAATGCGAGGACGATCAGCGCCAAGCGCCAAAGCGCATTAGTTGCAAATAAATTATGAAAAATAAAATAAAATTCACTTAAATAATTCATGCCAAAAGCAAAGCCAAAACGCTGCCAAGACAAACATGAACAGGATCCTTGGTATAAGCAGTCGCTCGCTTGCCTACAAATTATCGCTGCGACAGACGGCAACCAGCCCTTGGCTTCATGTGCTACGGGGGCGTTGCCAGACAAATAAACAAGCAAGCCCACACGCACAAACACACCCACACATACTCACACGCGCATCTATAATACAATTGTATAAGGCGAGCTTTAACAAAACCGGAACATTTTCCTCTTTTCAGTCCAGACATTTTATTTTTATTTATTTGGCCATTTTTTCGGCATTTGCATTGTTGTTCTGGCAAAGACCTAGACAAAAACTTAACTAAAAGCGCACATTTCTGCATAAACTACGCTCCTGCGTTTGTGACCAAGTTTTTGAATCCTATACCCTGTATTCATTAAGTAGGCAACATGAGTTACTTGTGCTGAAGGCAGCAAGACACAGGTACAGTTTTTATGTTGGTTCCAAATCAAATAGTTGACAACTATATTCAAGAACATCCCAAAGACACTCTAATGTGTAATCATTATTATAATATTCAAAATAAATACGGATTTTAAGCATGTGCGACTTCGGAGAACTAATGTACGGAGTATCGCGGGCTAATCACTTATTCAGAGCTATTTTTATATGCTGGGTTGATGCTTAAGCAACTCGCAGGCTACTTACTCACTGCCTAGCAAGTGACCACGCCCACACTTCAACTATAACTGAAAATCTGACTGAATGACTATACCCCGCGCGCATTTCCCGCTCCGCATGGTCATGACTATATCTCTGACTAAAGCTGCGGGCATATTGTAAAACTTTCTGGCACATGTCTTGCATGTTTGCAGCTGAGAGGCTGGCTTCCAAGGAGCTCACTTACCCAGCGCCTGAGTCTGAAGTGCACACGAAGGAGGCTCAGGGCAATTGCAAAATGGCGAAAACGATGCGAATAAGAGAAGTTCGTAAACGCAACTGAAGTGGCCTTTTTGCCAATAAAATTCAATTGCATAAAAAAACTGAAAGTTTCAATTATTTCATCCATAGAGAACTACAGCTTGGTGAAATTCCTGTACAAATTGGCATTTATAATGTTATATAATGTTATTCCAATAGATATTGACTAGTTGTGAATATGCAAAAAATGTTAGCTAATAATCTCTGGCGCCTTCATTTTATTCTGGAGTAAACTTAATTTATTTCCAAATTTAGGAAAATACCAATAGAAAAATATTATTAAATTCGTTTTCGCATATTAAGCCCAACATTTCTTGAACACACCCTTACAGCTTGCCTAGTATCCCAACTATATGCAGCCTGATCCCTTTTTTTCTAGCCTATGCCTGGAATTCGTTTCTTTTCGGCTGCCTATTTGATAAGAATGCGAAATAAATTGTAAAAGGAAGGAAACAAAATTCATGAAAATAAATATAATAAAAACGAAACTACAATTTTTATTTGAGTCGCGCTTGCAAAACTTTTCTTTCGTTGACCGCACTCATAAAAGAAATGCGACTCAAGGCCTTGGCAAATAATAAAAAACTTTTCCTACGTGATGCTGGGACGCTAAATGTGTTGCATACTTTTTGGGATACGCTCTGAAAATAAAAGATGAACAAACAACTTGACCGAAACTTAAGAAACTGCCCTGATACTTATAATTATGGAATAGAAAATTACAAATTAAAGACACTCACACTTCTCGGCAACAACGCTATGTGGGCGTGTCTGCTTAAGCTTATACAATCCCATTAAGATGAGTTACAAATTACAACCAGCCCACCTTGGCCCCGGGCGGTCATGGGCCACGCCTGCTGGCGTTTACATTAGAGTAAAATTTGGCAAACATTTTTGGCAATTTTCGACACCCAAACTCCATGAGGCTTATTAGGACAAATGGGGCTTAGGCAAATTGTTGCTTCCGCTGGCTTTTGGCGAAAGCGGAAGTAAGCTGAGGGCGTGTGTCAGCGCGACAGGCAGGCATGGCGAGGGGCAGAACAAACAAAAGCATAAATTACAAAATTAACGCATTTATTTCAAATTGAATTTCCGCCTTTTCGCTTATTATTATGTGCAACTTTAATGATAATTGCTCGCAATGAAAAAACTTATTAAAACCAACCATTTTTTTTATTTATACATTTATTCTTTATAAAGTATGCATTGCACGCTTTAAATTAGCTGGCACTTGTAAACTGGCAATTAATTTGCGATTGTATTTCAAGTAGAAACAATTTAAAAATGCCGCTTATTTATGGCTAAGTGTAGTTTAAACTCTTCAATAAATATACGTCATTAAAGAAATACAAATATTTGCTTGCTCTCATCTCTTTAATACTATTAAATAAAGCTACAGCTAATTTTGTATTCATCTAACATTCCGTTGTAAGCAATTGTTGTCTCAAAAATGTTCTATTATTGTACTCAAATGGCTTTCAAATAAACATATGTTGTGTACGGAAACAATACTGGTCATAAACAAGTATTTATGGTCCATTCAATTGGCTTGGGTCAGATAAAAAGTTTATTGAACCTAAAAATGGCATGAAACTCGTCTAAGCCAATAAATAGTCTTTTTTTTTTTGTATTAATAATAGAAAGGCAAAATCAAAAATGACATTCATCATTCAGAAATGCCACCAAAAGCTGGCGACAAGCTTGAAAATGAGCTCAAAAATGACAACAGTTGCAACAACAACAACAACAGAAACAGCAATAACCACAAAAGGCGACACCAATTTTTATGAGCGCCAAAGCAAAATGCTTTGTGACTTTGTTACATTTTTCGTGGCAACAGCGTAAAGTTGCCTTTATTACCTACCTACTTACTGCAGTTGTTGCCGCCGGCCACAGTCTGTAAATGTCTATCTCTCTGTATAACCGCCTGACAGACTGGCCAAATATTTATGCTGGCAAAGCCAACAAGATTGATGCTGACTGGCCAAAAGCTGCCGAATAATATTTTCGCTGATCTGGTGTCTGAAAAATGTTCACAAGATTTTCAATGCATATTATATTCAAGCAGAGGGTATATTGATTGTGTAAGGAAATCGGTGCAAAATTCAATAAGAATTCAAAATTTTTTAAAAAACAAAAAGTGGTATGAAAAAACGTTATAAAAATAAAACGTTTCATTTGCCCGAAATTAATTGCAAAGCCTTTAACATGTTTTAAAATAATTAAAAAATTAATTAAAATGGGAGAAACTTAAAACAGATGTTGAGATTAAATAGATTCAGGTAATATCATGGGAAATATATTTTTTAAATTCTTACTGTTGCCTTTAAAAATATAAAGTATTAAATATTTATTGAAAAAAAAAATTTTGTTATTTTATGTTGTCTATGTAAGGGTATTTGTTTTGTGGCATGCCTAATTTTTCATTCAATTTTAGCTTCCACATAGCATAATGGGCGAGGAGTTGGCTTTCGTTTTTGGTGCGCCGCTGGCGCCGGCCGGCCCATTTTCCAGCCACAACTATTCCGTGCAGGAAAAGCTGCTTTCCGAGGCGGTAATGGCATATTGGACGAACTTCGTAAAGACCGGGTGAGTAGTGTCGGTGGCAAACTGAATTGAAGAGTGCATTTGGTGAAAGTTTGTGATTGGAAATGCCGCACGGCATAGATAAGCCGCGGGGCGGAACGTTGGCGGACTTGGCCAGCTCAACACGACGAGTCGCAGCTCTGCATGCAAATACGACTGCGACTGTGGCTGCGGACGCGATATGCATGGCACTGGGCTGCGGCACGTTTTGCAATCTGCAACGCTCGGACAGTGAAATGAATAGAATTTTTACTGCCGTTTTTATTATTATTTCCTTACAAAAACTACGGCAAAAAACGGCCATAAGCACGCCAACAAACACAGCTCTCATGCAAATATTATTAGTAGAAATTCGGCGATGCGATGCGCCACCCAAGCAAAATGGCAATCAAAGCCGAAATCTGAGATCGTTAGTATACATTTATGTTTTCATATATATATTCTTTTTGGTATTCAGACTTAAAAGTCGCATTCAGCCAGTCATTAGCTATTTGACCCTCAGACTTAAAGGGCAAATTGAAAAGCAAAATATGCTGAACAACTTGGGGCAATTTAAGCACAAAGTAAGAATCAGGAAATAAGGCTTAGTACGGAGACATGAATATGCCGATAGCGAATAGTGGATACTGCAAAAACTTGAGAGAAACATTACTTTAACTGACAATGGGATCGGTTTTGGTGAGATACTAATTTTCATTTATTCACTCTATTATATATATATTATTTATATATATATATTATTTGTCAGTATTATTATGTATATTATTATCCAATCGAACAATCTTTTACTTCTTATAAAAATTGAACTGTTTCTATACTTTAGCAATCCGAAAGCACCCTGGAAGGGAACATTTTTGAATTCGCATCTCTTGGAATGGGATCGCTACGATTTGGACTGGCCGGAGTTTAATAAGCGTGCGCAGGCCTATCTCAATATTGGTAAGTACGGCATTTGCCACATTCACAGTCTGGCACTCAAACATTCCCACAACCAACCATGCCGTCAACTAACAAACGCGTTTTGATGCCCTGACTTTGGTTGGAATCGCATTTGCATTTGCTTGGTCTTTGGCAGGGATTCCGCCGACAGTGGGCTACAAATACCGCCAGATTTACATGAATTTTTGGAACAAAGAGCTGCCGGACGAGTTGAATCAAATTGCGGCAATACAGGTGCGAGGGCAGCAACAGCAGCTGAACGGAAATGAGGTGATTACGGGCCATATGAGCAAATACGGGGCGCGTGACAATGGCGCCGAGGATCCGGTGCGTACGCTGAAATTGCTGCTACAGGAGCCGCTGGCAACGGGCAGCGAGCAGCTAGAAACCGCTGCGGAAAACATGTACAATGCCCCGCCCACATTTGGTCATGTGCATAGGCAGCAGCAGCAACAGCAGCAACAGCAGCAGCAGGGCATTGGCACTAATGGTGCTGAGGGCGTGGCCATATCCGGCGAGGATACGACACACAGCAATGACTATGGGGAGTACGGGGCGTCATCTTCCACAGCGACGCCAGCCGAGCCCATTGCCAAATCCGAGACGACGTTGCAGCTGCTTATTGCGCTCATCGCCATCTTCATTGTGCTAAACGTTGCCATCTACGCAACATTTCTGTTGCGCCAGCGTCGGAAGCGCAACACATCCCTGCAACGCAAGCTGGGCGGCAACATTCTCACCTACGATGGCGCCAACGATGATGAGCTGAAGCGTTGCAGCAAGTCGCGCGATGGCGACGATAGCTTCACCCTGGACATGGTGCGCAAGTCCAATACCTACGAAGCCATCAAGACGGGCCAGCGCTCGCCAATTAATGGCTATGCCATGCACCGTCAGCTGAGCAGCTCCACGGTGGACACGCACACCAAGGTATGCGAGTGGATGTCCGCACAGCATCAGCATACGAATTCAGGCCATAAGCTGCCCAAATCAGGCAGCTTTAATACCACGCCCCCGCCGCCGCCAGCTGTGCAATCGGATAGCCGCATTATCATATGCCAGGACATAGAAGTTGCGGATGCCGCGCTGCTGACACCGCAGCATATGCATGAGACGCTTGAGGGCATGCATTATGAGCTGCTGCTGCAGCGCCAGCACTCGGCGCTCACAGAGCCTAGTGAAGCCACTCTGCAGCCGCAGCATGGCCACACCTACGCACACGCCCATTCACACTCGGATCCGGTGGACATGATTTTAGCTGCTGATGAGCAGATAACCAGCTTTGTGCATGCTGATGATGTGGACATCAATGTGACCAGCCGCGACGAGGATGCACTCGTGCTGCAACCGCTAAGCGCCGCACAGCAACTGGAGCTGCTGCGTCAGCGCAACTATCCCAAGGTATTGCCGACGGCGCAGGATTTGCGCACGAGTCATAGCTACAAACGCAACTCGCTGCCGCCGCAGAATTTTACCGCGCCGCTACCACCGCCGCGCACCATTAGCAGCACGCTGGGCCGGCGGCGTCGAGATAGCAGCAACATAACCACATCGCCGCTTATGCTGGCACAGGACTCTGGCGAAGAGGAGCCTCGTGAGCCGCAAATCACGCAAAATACACTGATTGTGGGACCCATTGTACCCAAGTCACCAGCGGCATCCCTTAAACGCATCAAGCACACGTCCCCCGCGCGGGCTGATATGGCTACCACAGAGGTCAGCGGTGTGGCCACGGCCCTAAGTACATTAGGCGGTTCGTTTCAGTCATTCGAGTCGGTGCCGCCGGCGCATGAGGCAACCCCACCACAGGGTCAACGCACCGAGTGCGTCTATGCAATAGCGGCGAGCGCCAGTGTCAGCTCCGTGCCAGGCATCAGCTCGCCCAGCAGCTGGTCTGCACCGAATGGTGATCTGTATGCGCAGCCAACAAAGTCCGCCTCGAGAACGTCGCTCATTCCGCGACCGTTGCAGACAGCGCCAGCAGCAGCAGCAGCAGAGGCGCCAGCTGCGACGCAGCACGTGTCAACTGCAGCTGACTCGGCCACGCCCAGCCGCATACCGCAGCTGCAGCGTCAGGCATCCGGCAAGGAGCTGTCGCCTGTTGACGGCCAGCAGACAGTAGATGCCACAACACCAACATCAAATTCACGCGTCGGCTCCACCATCTCAAGTGATTCATCCGCTTCGGCTGCCTCCTGGCGCAACTCCACGACGTCTTCGTCCTCGTCGTCGACGGGCACCGTGCGAACGGAACTGCAGCATTGCCAGCAGTCTGGGCGCACTATTGCCACTCACATATAGTAGTCGTAGACGCCAAGCAGAGCTCTCAATTTGACACCATTAACGGACCCGCTGTGCCGAGCAGGGCCTCGAAATGCAACGACAGCACCAGATTTTGGATTCCAGTGCAATGAGAGTCGGCTGCCAAATCCTTTGACGGCTTGTGGCTTGAACTGCAGTGAAAGCCACTCACGCGCGGCAATACGCTCGCAATTTTCAAGTGTTTGCGAAAATTTAATAATACATTTTGGTCGAAAGTTTATCTTTGACTTGGCGGTTGGATTGCACAAGCGGAATCCTTCAGCGGGCGCACCAGGATCTGCTGCAGCTTGCGGTCGCATTGGTTGGCAAAAGTTTTGTCCAAATTCCAGTTTCGTTTAAGCTCTCATTCAAATGAGAAGGCACAAAAACCGAAACAGCTAACGAAAACCCTAGTAATATGAGTTGTGAGTTGAATTTTATGAAAGAGATTCCGAAAAATTATGGGAAAGGTCTTAAAAAAAATGTATTTTAATTAGTTAATTGATTTAAAAATGGGTCGAAAAGCAAAAAGCAAGATATTATGTGCGCAATAAAAGTATGTCAAGCATAGTTTACTGATTTAGGCAAATAAAAATCGAAGAGTAAATTAAAATTAACTATAATATGCTTAACTCTATCAGGATAATTAAGATATTATATGTATATGATGCTTTAAATATATGCTGATAAAAATTGTTTAAGAAAATCAAACTGATATCAAGAATATTTCATTTGAAAATATTCTCTGTATTAGTTCTTAGTTAAAAAGTTAAATATATAGATATGTATAGGAAGGGAACATATATAAATAGTGCATGTAGTCACACCATAGGTAGAACATTTTAGTTCTAGAGCGCAAAAGAAGAAAACTAACAAAGTTCAGCTACAACGCAGCCTGATTTTAGTTTATAAGGAAATCGTTAAACAAGTATTATGGGAAGATTAAATGGCAGCTACGATAACTACGATAATGATAGCCTCTATAACTAAGCATAATTTATAAATAACGTAAATAATAATTAAGCAACTTTGTGTTTAAGTACATAATCATGTAGAAAAGTTCGACTTATTTATTTACGCAAATTGATAATTGGGAAGAAAAAAACTTTACCGTTGCCTCTGCTTGTGCCTTGTTACCTGCAAATAAGCCCGAACAATGCGCAATTTTATCGACTACAAATTGGCCCAAAACTCTTGTGTCAGCAATTTGGCAAATAAGAGCTTCTTATATAACCAACAGCAGCCAATACAATGAGCACAATTTTCCGGGTGCTGCCAACTTAATTTGAAGTCCTGACTAAATCTCAAGCAATGTCAACATTGGTACAGTGGCAAATATTTCAAATATTTTCAGATTTTCTGTGAGTATTTCTTGCCGCAGGGAATTACATCAAACTTGTCACCACAAAATAGTTTCCAAGCAGTTGCCTAAACTCTATCCAAGCTGGAATAAAGTTTTGCGACTGGCTTTTATCCTGGGCCTTTGCCTTTGTGGCACATTACTTTTTGGTCTTTCAGCGAATTGAATTATTGTGTCGCCGTTTTCTTTTTCCAAGGGTTCAGGGTTTTTGGTTTTTTTTTTATGCAAATTGCTGTCATGCAGTTGGCGCGTTTTTATTCCGCTTGGAACAGAACAAAAACCTTGGCCAAAAAGTAAAAGAATGTTTTTTAGGACAAATTGAAATCCTTGCTATAAACACAACCAAAACTCAGAACGCACAAAAGTTGTAATTAAATTGTGCGCCCAATTGAATTGTTTGGCGGCAAGGTGCAAAGGAAAAGTCCCGTTCGCATTTTCATAATTCCTCTTTACGCATTAATATTTGTTTTACGCTAATTTTGTTAAGTTCTTTCCTACTTCATAAGCTGGTCTCCCCCCACGCCCCTAGTTGGCACTAATTGGTGTACACAGAAACTTGTCGGTATAACAAGGGGGCAGCATATAAATTGGTTAAGAAGATCTGTAGCGTAGTGTCAACACGATTGACACATATTTGCACTTCAAAGAGTGGCAAAGCGGGGGGTATGACATCCTGTGGCTTCACATATGACTGACTCGATTTCCAGCTGTTCGCATTTGCCTGCTGGTCGGCTCTGTGTTAATTTGCTGCAATTGCCAAATGCTTCAAGCGTTCTCTACACTCAATTTCAAAGCACATTTCCCACAATGCTTTTCACTTGCTTCTCAATTTTCTCGGCATGTGGGTTATTGTATTTCGAGTATTTGCCTTTGTGCATTGTTGAGTCTTGTGAATCATGGGCAGAGTTTGAAGCATTTGGTTAATTAAATCAAACCAGACGTAAAGAAAATAACAACTTATAAAGCTACTATGCAAGTGAAAATAAGGCAAACAAGGGATTAGCCATCAGTGGAAAAATGTATCCTCAGTTCTCTTTTATCAGTATTTCGGAGTAACGGTTTGACTCCTTCCTTTGTTCTGCTTTCTATGAAAATAAGATATGTATAAATCAGTTTTTCATGATTTTCCACCAAATTTCACATTGTAACGACATTCGTTTGTAATTTGCGAAATACTTCTTTAAAACTTAACCGACACCCACTAAAGTTAATCAAAGTTTCTAACCAAAAAAAAGAGACCCACAAAAACCTCTAGATGAAGAAGCCAAATTATTTACCTAAATTGCCGACAGCCACAAATTAGTTTGAGCTCAAGAGAAGATTAAAATGAAATTCTATGAGATTGCTTAGCTATTTCCACATACACAAAGATGCGAAGCGATTCAGGGAAATAACTTGTAGATAAGTGGATGAACATCCACATATACACAGAAAGACAAGTGCAGGAGCCATAACTAAAACTTTTTCGAGATGGGCAAAAATGCAAGCATATAACAATTGAATAGAACAATTTTTGGCCAAGGTTTTGATTTATAGTTGACAATTTTTACCCAATGTAAGATTATTATGTTTTTTGTGGCTTGCGGAAGGAACCAGAAGGAACAATTGAAAATCGGTGCCAAAGGGGTGACATGAAAAATAAAATAAATATTTATTGCAGTTTAATATATAATCGCATTAAATTTAAACTGTCAGCGGGAAAAAAGAAAAAAGCTTAAGTAAAAATTATTCAAAATAAATTTGCATTAATTAAATACGACAGGGTGGTGAATAATGATAATTGCATATAATAAATGCATATGCGATGATATTTTTGTGGTATGTCTGTACACAAATTAAGCGGCTTAAAAACGTCATGACTAATTAATGCACTTTATAATTAGTATTATAAGTTTAATATCATTAAGCTTATTTTGTACTATTAAGTTGCACATGCATATACAATTAAATGCCAACAGGGCCAACAGCTTAAATTCAATAGCATTCAGCAATAAACTGGTTAAACATTCCACAATATGACAGGACCCGATCCCCATTTATGCAGAAAATTAAAAATGATATATTTAAAAAATGGTGGGCAAAGGCAAATATGCAAATTATGTTGTCTCATGTAGTTCACTTTATATGATGATGACTATTGTTTTATTTATATTTTTATTTAATTGATAATGTGCTTGTGCATTGTTTGACTTTTTAATGAAAATTTTCATAATTTTATGAAAACGAAATCAACAAAGGACACAACATAAACATGTGTAAATTATTTAAAAGCCAACAATTACTATAATCTGTATCTGTATGTGTAAAACAAAAAATATTAAAAAAATTATTGAAGCTGAAATAAAGTACATTCTACATTTATCAAGGACATATATTTTTTAAATTTTTATTTTGTTTGAATTTAACGCTAGCTCTTGCAGCAATGTGTATAGTTAAGTATTCTGTTAGAACATATTTTCAATATTTAGTTAAATATTTCAGGCATACTAAATGTACAATGCATGAATTTATAGAATACACAGTAAATATAGAGCTATTTTATTTCTCTTAATTGTTTCGGCAATAAAGAATATTTATTGATGTGCTTAATAAGGTTGTCAAATTAAATAACAATAAATGTTTGGCTAGAGTGCACTGTTTATTCTCAAAGTCTTGCTTACAAAAATAATAAACTTCATTATTATAGGAAAATATTATGTATAATTTTAATTTTTAAAAATATCCATGCTTACCTTTTAACTTAACAGTTTCAGTACGTAAACGCTTAATACCATTAAAAAGCTAAACTTTTTTAAACATTTTTAGATAAGACCTTAAAAGGTTTTAAATAATTGCAGTATAATGAAATAAAACTAAATTTTTCGGTTGGTTATATTTTGTTTTGTATTCGAATCATTTGCAAATGCAAACACATCGAAATAATTGTGCCAAAATAATAAATTAAATATTTAATTAAAAATAATTACTTCGCTCATGTTGTTTTTGGTTCTGGCTATTTTTAGTTTTCGCATGCATTTCCAGCTCATTTTAGTTTTCACTCATCTGTATAATTGTTGATTGTTTGTGTTGTCTGTCGAAATTGAAGTTCAATGAACTGCAAAATTACAGACCTTATTGTTAGTGGATTATAAACAAAATATTTCCAAAATAGAATTTCAATTGATGCAAAAAGTAATTAAAGCAGTATTTGTAAATAGTGCTGCTTTAATGTTGGGCATGTATTTTAGCATTTAATTTGCATGCCACCGTAAAATGCGTGGCCTGAATGCATCAACAGAATTTGACATACAAATTTAATTAAAAGCCAAATTTATTATTGTTATTGTTTTTTAAATGAAATAAATTAAGGGAAAATACACATTAAATTTCAAAAGAAATAATAATTTAAATTATTAAAGCAATAAATAAAAAGAAAAGTAAGTGGCTCACATTCAAACATATCTCAAAGTTGTAAACTGATTAAATTCTTAAATTTGTCTCAGAACCAAAAACATTCAAAGGGCTAGAGTTGATCCCGCCCACGCATAAGCAATTCCTGACAAAGCATAATTTATTTATATAGGGAAATAAAATTTCGCGAAAAGTAAATAGAAGAGAAGCAAAGCGCAGGAAACTTTATAAAACGTGACTTGGAACTAAAAGTGAGGCAGCAGTGGCATCAAAGCACCGCCTGCAACATGGCATGTGGCAATATCGTCTCCCGCCTGACTGCCTCCATGACTGCACGAGACCAACTGCCTTCGAGTAGCAATTAGCGCCATGATAGTGCGGTTTGACGGCACGTGGCAGCCACTATTTGTGCGTGTGTGGCATGGCGCAGCGTTAATATGCTAAATGAGACGCATTGACAGCCACTCGCAACTGGCGCTATGCTTTGTATTTTTATTTTATTTTTGTAGCATACTTTAGAGCACCGTGTCCTAGCATTACGTTCAATTTGCTTATTGCAGAATATAAACTTGGGCAGACGATGACAACGCTGTCGCCAACGGTGCTGCGTCCCACTTCCAGCCAAGTTTGTTGCAATTTGCAGTTTGCAATTTGGGTCGTGGCATCTACCCCACCCGTTGCATTGTCAGCCACGCATTTGTCGCTAATTTGGCGCGAAACGCCTTGGCGTCTCCTCCTTCAGTTGCCTCCAGTCCCTTTTATAATTGCTTGGCACCAATTGTTTTAAATGCTCGATGAGCGTACACAATTTGCTTGGCTGCCGCCACCACAGACGGTGCTGAGCTCAATGTAGCCTTTAACCCAGTTGAGTGCTCTTACACCACACAGCAAAAGTTGGTGATATTCGCAATTAATTCAGGAGAAAGTAATGAAAAAATGGGAATCACTCAAACGCAATAAAATCAAATCATTAAACTAAAAAAACTTAAAAAAACTTAAAAAATACCTTCTTATTTTGTAGGAAAAAGTGTGCAGCTAGGTATATTCTTCCAAAATTGATGATATTTCTTCCTTTAATTTCTGTATACATTTTTCCATGTCAACGTAATTTTATATCGACTTGAGCTGAAGTCAGAATTTATTACCGAAAAAAACAGGTTTACTTTTGGCTTTATAAAATGCTCTCAAAAGTGTTAATCACATTCGATTTAAATATATTAAAAATATGCTAGCTACAAAGAGCCTGGAAGCTTCAATAAATATAAATTTTATACAGTTAAGTTTTGTGTTTGTTTGCATTTTACCATTTAGTAAAGCTTTCGGCATAGACTAAAGCGAATTTGTTTACATTAATTAAAGCCATGTAAGTTAAATATATACGAATTTATTTTTGTTGTCTAGTGTTAACGTCAATGGCTTCGTGTAGCAATAAGAAATTGCAAATGTTTTTATTATAAACAAAGAGTGTGTGAGTGCATAAGTGACTGTGTGTGCGTGTATGTGCATGCGTGTATGTGGGTTTGAACTTTTCGCCGTTTCAAGTAGAAATCGATGCGCATCAATATTCAATATGTTGCTTTTACTGGCATCGAGCTGTTAGCTGCCTTCCCGACCACCCGCAGCTGAACTCTCCGCGAGCCGCGACAGCAGCAGCAGCAGCAGCATCAGAAGCGCAATCTCAATGCGAATCCTCGAAGATTCCATACGCCAAACGCCAGCTGATGTTTGCTTTACGTAATGGAATTGTGCGGTGAATGGTGCGTGGTGGCGCATTTTCGCCTTGGCCCGGGCTCGCAGCGGGTTTCCCTTCCCTGACTTTTTACTGTATGTGGGTATGTGGGTGTCCGTCTGTGTGTGTGTGTGTGTGAATTTTCTTTGGCTTGGCGTACGGATTGGCGGTTCAGAGGCTTTCAATTGGCTTTCGGCACTGCGAGGAGCGAGCGGCGTGCGACATGTAGGATACGGCGTGTGGCATGCGTCAATGTTTCAACATTTACCGTTCTCATTGTCGATGCCGCTTCATTCAATTTATTTTCGACAGAAATTAAATAAAAATACGCATATATTAAACTTCAACAGTGCCTGCTACATTGACAGAAGCTGATTATATGCCCCTGTTAAACATAGTGGACAAATGGAGTCGACAGCTGTTCCAAGGGCTAAAAACTGAAAATGGATGCATCGTTAACTATGGTAGAACTAGTTTAGCTGATCTATCAAATGCGAACATATTCGGTCTGGGAGCAGTAGGTTTTATGCTCGAGGCCAACCTTTATCATATGCACACCAGTGTTGTGTAACAAAGCAAACACGTGCTCGTATTAGCAAGTAACTAAGTGTTGTTATTCCACAGTTTTACACCACAATTACCAGCTCCACACTCCTGCCGTGCTACCTCCCCTTCACAATCTCACTAACTACGTGACGCGCAGCAGCTACGTGTCGCATTCCCGAATATCCCCACGTTACTCATAAATGTTAGACAATGTCTGCAGCGTGTGTGTATATGTATGTGTGTATTTGTGTGTGATGGTAAGTGTGAGACTGTGTGTCATGTGCATGTTTTGGCATCTTTCTACAGCTACTCGAATAGCTCAGAGACTCACATATGCCTGCCCATTTAAAGTGATATTTTTTTTGTGTAGCAGAGCCCAAACAGGGCTTGTTCTTCTTCTGCCCGTCTCTTACAGCGTAATCATATCAGCGCCACATTTTGCCAGCCCTTATTCCTTACCTATACACACATGAATGTTCTCTGTGTGTGTGTGTGTGTGTGTGTGTGTGTGTGTGTGTGTGTGTGTTGCAACATGCTCTACATGTTGTCATTGTATTTGTTTATGTTCCACTTTTTGTTGCTTTTTGTCAGCTTCAATATTGCATGGCTTAACTATGCCTGAAGGGGCCGTTGCGAGTGCACTCTGAATAGCTAGGTATTATAAATAGTTGACAAACACGTTTGGAAATTGTTTAAGCATATTGTTGTTAAATAAAGCATCCACATCCACTTGAATAAATGAACCGATAAAGTTAAGACGCTTTACTTGACCTAGAATATTCATTTGACTGGCATACTCGGATGCCTTAACTCAGTTTATATATTTGTATATTATTTCTGATTTATTATTATTTATGCATTCGGCACATGAAATAAATTTACGAATTTTTATTAAAGAAATTCCTACTTTTACGGTTCCTGCTTTTGTTAAGCAAATTAATAGGACAATTCATTTATTGGTACTTTTTAAATTTCCATAGGAGTTCCGTAAAAAAGTATCTGGGTCACTAAAAAAAATGATTTTAACGATATTCAACACGCTCTCCCATGTTCATTGCAAAATTCTATCAACTAATATTGGGCATACCTTTCAATGGCTTTGCTAGCGCCGTTTTTCTGCATCTCCCACTTATATTCTACCCTTTTTGACGGAAATGTCGCCACCCTCTTTGTACCTTTGCCTTCGTTTTAATAAACTAACGAACCGCTGTGTTCAAAGTTGTACTCCATGCTAACGCCAGTCCGCCAGAAAACCATACACATCATTTTGATGTCAATTATTTTGCAGTGAAGAGTTGACATGGCTTTTGTTGGTAGTTAGGTGCGGGAAAACTCTCCCCACCTAAAGCTCCTGGAAACCCAGCAAACGCGACACGGCAACCCCCAACCCAACGCGAACCCACAAACAAAAATATTCAGCCTTTGCTCTTTGTAGTTGTTATTGCTGTGAATTCTTTGTCGTATGACTTTGAGGCGGGCTTAGGTTTCCACCCAACGTGTCGCTGTAGATAAAGAAGGCTGCCTAGGTACGCTTTTTGGCAGCTCTTGTACGGAGCTTAAAACCAGCCAAATTGAAACAGCGCATTTCAGCTGAAACCAGGTGCTAGGTAATTGCCAAAAAAAAAGAACAAAAACATAAAGCAGAAACAAGAGCAGAGCAGAGACATGTTCAAATTGTGCCTAATGATGATGGAAGTTGTTGA